CTGAGCTAAATCCCCAGCCCCCACATTTCTTTCTAATGCTGCATTACTTCTTCATCACTTCTCCTAAAATACAGGAGCATCCTAAGATTTCTTTTCCTCTTACAGCCTGCAAGTAAAACCTCAGAGGCTGGCAGAGACAACAACAAAAAGGGAAATTTACATCAGGTAAGTTGTTTGCTCCCAGGCTTACTATAAGAGGATTAAAGACATGGTTAAGTTTCCAAGCTCTGCAAATGCTTTTAAATGCTGCAGTAATTCACTATAACTTGAAAAACAGCACCATTATAATTATATAAGGAAAAAAGGATAGGTTAGAAGAATAGCTTAAAACTGATGAATCATGAGAGCTTTATTTACCATTTTGAAAACAGTAACATTAGTCTAGGAGATATTTGAGGTAAACTAACTTAGTAATTAAGAGTGTTGCACTTTTCTTTTAAAAACCTGAACTGTAATTTCTTTTTAGGTATATTTACACTTTAGGTGAAACCCTTCATTTTTCTTTAAGTGGAATCTTGTCGCCTAATTCTTCATTTTTGCAACAGAACAAAAATATTTTTATTTATCATAAACCTATCTATCCACATCAAAATTATTACCACTGTTTACCAGTTCAGTGACACAGTCTCAAAACTGGCGCCATATAAAATCAGAAAGTTGAGTCATGGTGACTGGCAATTATTTGCTTATTCTCGGATTGTTATTGTTTTCATTTCACCAACCATGGAACCTAAACAGCTCCACGGTTTTCAGAATGCATTATGTTCAGCGACTTTTTATAAGTAGGTGGTGTGTACTTTTACTATTTGTACCATTGTGTTCTCCTCCCCATCACAGCCTTCCTGTCTTGAAGAGTCTTCTCCTCCATTGATTCCTATAATATGGCTGATTTTACTCTTTTTAGTATTTTTTACCTAGGCTCATACCATAGTATTCCTAATCTTTCCCATCTAAATTAGAAAGACCCTACTTAGAACTTTATTTTCAATTTTTATCATCATGTTTAAAAGTAAGTCTTAGAGAAATGAGATGTAGAAGCCATGGAATATTTTTAAAAGACTATACCAACCTAAAATCAAACCCTGGCTGCATCACTTTCTAGCTGGGTGACTTCAGACAGGGTTAAGGATGGATGGGGTGGGAGGCAGTAATACTTACTGAGTACTACTGGTGCCATGTGCTTTGCTCACATCACTTAGTACAGCAGCCCTGCAAGCTCTTTTATCTTCACTCTTTTGGGATCTTTTCTTTCTTTTAAAGATCAACAAGCAACGTAATCAAAATTTAAAGCTCAAGTGTTTAAATAATTTGCCGAGAGTCACATCAGTATAATTTAAACACAAGCCTAATCCTAAAGTTCAATAAATATTAACTCTCTTCCCCTAGGGAAAGCACTGAGAATGGTAATTTGTATCATCAAAGGAATCAGAGATTTTATGGGTGGAAGTTGAAGAATTTATGTTGTTTACATTAAAAGGATTTTTAATTACCATTTTTAAAACATGAATATTCTCTAAGGGGTGCATTGAGAGTTTTTTTTTTTTCCTGTGTCCATAAAAAACACTGAAAAATTAGAAGTAGTTTCTATAAGTATATTTGGGACTCACAGGAAACCAGATACTTTTCTCAAATCTATCAATGAATTAAAATTTATGGCCCAGTAAGAATAGAACAGAACGTAGAAGTTGCTCAGTATATGCTGGGTTGCTCAGCAGTTAAGATAATAAGGTATGGTAATAACCTGCATGGAAGATGACCACATGCATCGATATTACAAGGAAAATACCCTTAAAAAGAAGCTAAGGAGACACTGAAAATCTTCAGCTCTTGGTAGTTACTGCTTCTCAGTCTAACAATGCCAACTCTTCAAGGGCCTTCATACTGACATCCATTTATTCAGCCAAACTTTACTATATAACATTTTATTGAAGACATCACTATAAAGGGGCTGGGGATTTAGCTCAGTGGCAAAGCGCCTGCCTGGCAAGCGCAAGGTTGTGAGTTTGGTTCCCGGTACCGGAGAAAAACCAAAAAAAAAAAAAAGAAGACATCACTATAATACCAAAATGGCCCTTCACTGTTCCGCCTACTTGAGACCAGATGTTCACTCATCTGATACAACTTCTATCTAGGCAACCACAGTTGGGCTTATTTTTAAGTGAACCTTGAGGCCGGGCACAGTGGCACACACCTATAATCCCAGCACTCGGGAGGCTCAGGAAGAAGGACTGCTGCAAGTTTGAGTCCAGCCTGGGTTACACAGTGAGTTCAAGACCAGCCTGAACTATATAGTGAGACCTTCTCTTAGAAAACCTAAATAACTAAATAAATATGAACTTTGAATTATAGAAGGTAGAACCATTGAATTAATAAAATACAAGTTTCTTCCTTCAGTGGTGTGTATCTCCAAGCTAGTGATTTCTAACAACGATTTTGCCATAAACCAGGCTATACTGTAGCTGTTTTAGTTATTTGTAGATTTCATAAAATTTTTAAGATTATATATATTATATTTTTAAGACTATATATATACACATCTCTATGAATACAAACATATGCATGCATATACTCATGGGTAATTGTTATGGTTTGTGTCTGAATGCCCCCCAAGGCCTCATGCAGTCATGGGACAGGCTTCTAGAGTTATGATTGGGGGCTGGGGATTTAGCTCAGCGGCACAGCACCTGCCTGGCAAAAGCGAGGTCGTGAGCTCGATTCCCAGTATCAGAAAACAACAACAACAACAAAATAAATAAATGAAATTTAGAAAAATAGTTATGATTGATCCATGGCCCAATGTTGGAATTATGGATGTGAGTGCTACACCTGCCCAGGGGCAAGTAGCCTGCATACAGTGTAAGGGAGGGAAAGGGGCTTGCTCTTCCAGCTGCCGCGCCTCCTTTTTGTTCTTGTTACTTTTGTTGTTTTCCACGGCCATGAACTGTTCCCTCTGCCATGTGCCACTCTGCCTTGGAGCCAGCCAAGTACCGACTGAAACCTCCACAAACTGTGAGCTAAATCAACCTTTCCTTCCTTAATGTTGGGCGTCAGGTATTTTGTCTCAGCAACAAGAGAAAAGTAACCAAGACTATATACTTACCTACATCCTCACAGAGGGCTGTCTTTATTTTGAGCAATAGGGAAAAATTGAGAAAACGGTCTCACTTCTTAACACATATTTGAGACTGTCCCTGAGGGTTGGTAAAAACCGAAATAGAAATTAGAGGGACTAAAGAGGGTGTTGACTAAAACTCAAGGACATGCGGCAGCACATGCAAGTCAAATTGCTCAATAAAAATATTACTAGCAGCTGGGTGCAGTGGCACTCGCCTGTGATCGCAGCTGTTGGGGAGGCCGAGGTGAGCAGACTGCTTGAGTCTGGAAGTTCAAGACCAGCCTAGGCACCACAGTGAGACCGTCTCAGAAAAAAGGTAGTAATAACCAATAATGACCAAGCACGTACTGAGCATCAGATACACAGCTCCTAACACTCTGCCTGTGTTAAACTACCTGTACTTCACACCCTAGACCATTTCACATTCTGTAGCCGCAGAAACTGAAGATCTGCGGAGTTACATCATTTCCCACGTGAAGTACTTGTAAGCGGTGAAGTCATATTCAAACAGACTGCTTTCAAGCTCGGCGCTCCTAATCACAGGTTGATGGTTAGAACAAAACCAGCTAGGTAGACGTTCTTCAACACACTGGCCGAGAAACACCTGGCTCCTGAACCAGGGCTCGATGAAGTTAGTCCTCCCCGTCCCCCTCGCCCTCAGGTTCTAACTCACGGCCTCCACGTTCACTTACTCACCCGCTCTGTGCGGCCCACCCTCACCACCACACATTCACATGCTCTGTCTTTTCAACAGCGAGGTCCGTGCTGAAGTGTCTAGGTCATTCGCACTTCTTCCCCATAGGACTTTAGCTCGCGCGTGTACAGGGAGTCCTAGGACCAACCTCCTCTCCCCGATCCCTCCAAGGTAAACGTAAGCCCTCACTGGCTGGGTTACAAGCCATACGCAGCACATGCACATAGCCTGGTACCCAGCAGCATTCAGCTCAAAAGACTCTCCCACTTTCTTTCTGCGCCGAGCAACGCGCAAGTTATGACAGATGCCAAAGACGGCTGGCTGTGGGCCTGGAAACTGGGAGGCAATGATGCAATGAGGCAAGGGGGAAAGGGGGACGCAAGTCGTTGCGGGCTCTTCCCAGGAGCTTGCGCCTTTTGGGTAAGCGGGGTGCATACGAGCCCCCGCCCGCAGCGGATGCGCACACCGGGGAGCCGGGTCCGCAGCTGGGCGCGCCCCTGCTCCACCTCGCTGCTTGCCACCGAGCTGGGGGACGTTTTGTTAGCAACTGTGGAAACGGTGACAGCTCTTCCGGCGCCGAGGCCAGGCAGCCCAGGGCCGTGAACCACGACTCGCACCGCGTTCAGTGGCTCGCAAGCGTCCTCCCGCCTTCCGCACCCCTGGAGCTCGCGGGGCCAGCCCGGCCAGGTCCGCGCACGCGCGAGCAGCACCGCGGGCTC